AATAAGGCCAAAGACTGAATACCGAGTTATCTGACCAGGTTCATATAAAATATTAACAATCACATAAGACATTTTTTGAGTCACTCCAATACAAAATAATAATAATAAAAAAAAACGGTTACCTTAGAATCACCAAAAAAATCATACCAGCTAGCGTCGCAGTACAGATCGCTAAAAATCTAAGGGATCCGAGCCCCACACAAATCCAAACTATCACCATCATTACAAAAACAATCAAACACTTTGCATTGCACAAAATGCAAAGTCGGGTACCAAATTGCCCGACCAAGTCACCCAGGCCCTATTCAATAGCAATTCCAAAGAATCGCCCATCCACTTTACTGCTCAAACTCGTCAAAATGCATGAGAGCTCAACTAACACAAATACGTCAGGCCAAAGCCTAAAAATGATCAAAACGTCCAAGAGTCCCCAAAGCACCCGGAGATTACATCTCAACATGCATCCTTTCAGTAAACTCTGATAAGATAATGAGGTGATCTTATATATATCACGCAAGACGTTGTTTATCACAACTTAAAGAACCCGAAATTCAAAAGATTACAGGCGAAAATTATGTCAAATTGTAAAATAATGCGACTTCGCAACAGTTATGTTCAGAGCATGTCCTAAACTCGAGGGTCTCTTGTTGATACCCAATTTGACCACGATTAATAAAAACACGACACGTGGCAAAATAAAGGGATGAAAATACGTATAGATCAATATACAAATAACAGGTTTTCTAAACCAGTCCGGAACTGGCCAAGCTGCAAATATCGAGCTTTTCCACTTTCGAGTCGACCAGAGTTTAAAGTGATCGGTTGACCCGAATACTGTAAAGAAGTCGTCTTCAGAGGACGAACATTACTGACGAGACAATGATCTATCGAAAGCGTCAAGTGTCATAATTAGACCCTACGGTGTCATCTCACGTTAAATGCAATTGTAATATTTTTCCTTCTTTATTACCTACTTGTTAGGCATATAAAAGGAAAAGGATCCTCTATTATTGGAGGAGGGGGCATTATTGTAGAAAGAGGATGAATAACCCTGGAAAAAATAATACACAATGAGAAGGCTACAAAATTCATACAATTTTCTCAATTTTGAGGGAACCGAAAATTACTGAGTTGTGTTGATCAAATTTTGCATATCAACAAAATTTGGTTTTACTATGAAGCCAACAGTTAGTTTCATATTGGAGTCAATCTTCTATATACAACAAATAAACTTACCATATTAATAAAATTATATTAGTGTTATTTAAGTACTAAGAGAATATGGTAGGTTTACTTGTTGTATATAGAAGGTTGGCTCCACTATGGAGCCAACTGTTGGCTTCATAGCAAAATCGAAACAAAACTATACTCCTCTTATTCTTTTTATTTGTCATTTTGGTTTTATTAATCATTAATCGAATAAATGACGTTTTAGATATTTTATATATAATTTTTTATTGTTACCCTCATTTACTTAGTACAGTACACATTTTAGGAGGAAAGTTGTGGAAGACCGATGTGTTTTCTCTCTTAAAATAACATAAAAGAAGCTGAAAAGAAAGAAATTAATTAATATTAATTTGCTTTAAATAAGACTAATATTGGTGAGAAAAAAAAATTATTTATGTGTTAAAGCACAAAACGACATTTAAAAAGAATAAAAGAAATTATTATTTATACTTGAATCGCTACATAGATTGCACAAAGTCCAATGAATAATGTAACTAGTATAATGTAATAGACTATAACCAATTAATTAATTAATATACTATCATTATTGTAGCAAATATTTAAGCCATTTAAGGGACTTGCTATGCCGTTAAAAATAATTAGTTATTTAAAAAATGCTTAATGAGATAAAAATAAAGAGATATTATTAATTTAAAATAAATAGGTTGAAGAAAAAAAATTATTATAGAATTTTTTACAAGTGTAACTTACATAAACATTCAGTGTGAATTTATAATTGATTACTGATAATAATAGTTATTATATGCTAGACTAGTTTTTAGAATATAACTGTTACTTTTTTCATAATTAGATAAAAAAAAATGAGCAGGAAAATTTTATGTTAATATATATATATATATATATATATATACCGTGAACTTAATTTGATTCTATTTTTAAGTGTGTAAGATGCTATTTGTAATATTATATGGTGCTAACATTTTTACAAATGCTAAAATAAATTTATGTTGCTATTTTTAATTAAATAAATTATGGTTAAAAAATATTACCAAAACATAATCAATTATGGCACTACGCACACTTAAAAAGAAAAAAGAAAAAGAAAAAAAAAACTATTCTCACGAGCTCTTGGTTTTCAATTAAAAAAGCTGTGTTACTTACCTTAAGATTTGGTTCTCGTTTGAACCACATCCTCTCTATATATATTGCAGTTTCATAATAATTACAAGCTAAAAGTGCACTCCATTACATACATACAAAGCATGAAACAATAAA